ACACTTAACAACAACAACAGCAAGCTCAGGTGGCATAGACTGTAGGAAGTTGCTGTTCTGTTTCCAAACAGAATATAATCTGCTCCATCTGGAGGTATTAGCTGATAGAGAGTTGTGCTGCTAACCCAAAGGTGATCCTTCTCTGATGATTCAAAGCCACCAATAGCTCCTAGGGAAAAAGACAGTGTCCTCCTATGTGATTACAACTTCAAAAACAAACCACTAGTTCAGCTATGAACTGGTTCCAATTAGAAATAGTGAATTGAGCTAAACTGAATGATAGTAGTGAGTAGTATATAATTAATTTCCTACATTTTCATGCCTTGATTGTTAGAAACCCTTCAAGTTATTTTTCTTCTTTAATCTCAGATAGGTGTGTAGAATTTAATTTTTATTTATTTTGGGTGATAGGAGGCATTATCCCTCTATTGAGATCCTTATTTTATGATTCACTTATTGAGCTTTTATTTACTGGATCTTATGGGGGTGCAAATTGTCTAATTCACAAACTTTGCTGAGTCAACAAGAGTGTTTCTCCACCCTATGTCCCCACCTCATTCCAATGACTCAAGGGCTTTCTGTCTAACTCAATGACATGCTCTTAGAACTTTTATTGTCCTTTCGCTAGATCTGGTCAGTTCCTCTCACCAGGCTCTTAAGTTTTTCTTCACATATGCACTTTTTTTGCCTCATGAAATTGCAAACAAATTATATTTAATCAACTTTTATCTGTTCTTATTAGTATTCAAAGATCAATTCTCTCTTTTACAAAGCTGTCCTCATCAAGAGTAACTGGAAATGTAGACTGTGACTTGCTCTGAGTGGAGGGAAATTACTTAGAAGGAAATTGTCAACAGAATAATTTGAAAAGAGGATTTTCTTTTTTCATGAGGGATTATTGTGTTGCTGAATCACAAACATTTAAGTATAAAAAAGAACCTGAAAGATTAGTGGTATTCCAGGAACTCTGCAGTTGTGTGGGAAGAGGTGGTCAAGAAAGAGCAGGGAGATCCTCAGAAGCTCTATTCTCCTATATTTTGCTTATATTTTAAGATGAAATTTTTACTTTATATTTTAAGGTAAAATTTTATTTGAAATAAAATTATTAAGACTGAAGGATTCATTTAGAAATTCGTTTGGAATCCTGGGAATACAAAGACAAAAATTTCTAGTCCTTGGAGAGCTTGCAATCTAAATTGGAGACAAAATACGAACAGTCTTGTCTATTCGAGCATTAAAGATGAAAAGAAGCCTCATTAAACAGGCGCCTATCTTTTTTGGTTAAGGTCATGAGAACTAGAAATTAAAGAACTTCTTTGTATTGGTGAAAAAAAAAAACAAAAACCCTACTAATTCATGTCACGGAGATTGAATAGGTCCACTTTTTCAAGAGTTTTTCATTACCCAAAATTTCAAAATTTTTTATAGATATGGCCCTCAGGCCAAATA